TCCTTATGAAATCACACATGGAAAGTTTTATTTACACACGTTAAGACAACGCCAAATTTTTCAACAACATGTAGATTCATTAGCAGAAAAACTGTAGCCTGTGGATTTCTACTGACTTCAGCTGTACTGAGCCATCTCTTCTGGCAGACAGTGACCGTGAATCAGAGGCTTCCTGACAAACTTTAAAGCATGTGGTAAGGCTGAGTACTTCCCTGTGTACCTTCTTAAAGATGGTTTGGGTTTTTTTAAATGCCAGAAGAAAAAGTCATGCCTGTAACAGGGTTTTGATAAGGCCACTTTTAACAAGTTTCCCATGGTGACATGGAAAGAAACAACTGGGACAGCAGCAAAGAAAGTGCTATGTGTTGAAAAGGAAAGAGAAAAAAGGGGTTTGTCCTGAAAATTAGAGTACTCATTTCTTCTTAGAGCCCTGGAATTCAAATAGGAAACATGGAGGAAAATCTTTTGTTCTTCAAGGAAAGTCATGGATTGGGATTCACATAAACCCAGAAGTCAGATCTTTGGCAATACCAAGTACTGTAAGAGTCATGACATGCTCTGACTTCTCAAAAGCAGTGTAACAACTGCAACATATCTCATGTGAATCACTGCAAACGCAGGCAGACTTGCCAGCTGAAAAATGTGAAACATGGTTGTATTACAACAAAACATAGTCTTTTATCATCCTCCTCTACTCTTACTCTGTAACTTCATAACGCACAAGCTCACTTTCTGGCGCAAAATCTTTTCAATCAGTTCATTAAATTTCTTTCTTTTAAATTTACCAAAACATTCTCTGTGTATCTCTACAATAAGCCACTCAAAGACCTAAACAATCACCAAAACAGGCTACAATTTTTTCTTCAGCTCCGACTACAGACTACTTCACGTTGTCTTTTGGGTTGGTTGGTATATACAGAACTATGTTATCATTCAGATTTTTTTAACCACAAACTGAAAATCTTAAACCTATATTAAAATTGCTGAGTGTTGACAGTCAAAAGCAAGCCGAGACACAGAACAAAGTAGAGTACAATGCAACAGTACCGGGAAAAGAAAAAAAGAAAAAAGCCATGAAACAACAAATCCTTATATGCAGTTCTTAAGAGCGTGCACCGAGAACCTTTTTATGGGAGAAGTTGACAAGTACGCGGTTCGGTCACAAAGACGGCTCCGCATCGCTTCAGGGGAGCGTGGGGCAGGCTCCCACCCCAAGTTTCTCCCCAGCAGAAGGTCTGGGGCTCGCCGGGACCGGCTCACCCCGCCCCGCCCCGAAACCGGGCTCTCGCCCCAGCTACCTGCCGCGGAACCGCCC